CATTCACCTACAACTACACTAAATATAGCGTTGTGCGCTATGGCTGAGGACCAGAATTGATAGTGTAGCCCAAGATCCTGCGCTAACGCTACAGGATAGCGCAGCATAGCCAAAACCTGCTATTCAGGTGCTAACTGGCGCTATGTGTGCGCTAACAAGCAGAAGCCGCTATTTCAGCACTCCATGAGTACTTGCTGCTGCGCAGCCACAGTTTAGCGGCTTCTAAACCCTATCTTCCCACAACTTTTGCTTCTTGGTGCCTCATGTCCCAACATACCTCCACACAGAGTCCAACAACCAATCACCCTGCTTCACCCATCGACATCACCATCGTGATGCAAACCAACAATATTGAAGATGAAGCTCCCACAACCCCTCCTAACATACCTGATACATACAGCAATCCCCATGGTCCTCAATCAATTCATTGTGAATCCTCTCGTCAACGCACCCCCAGCCACCGTCCTGGCTTCATCCCCACCTCCAATGACTCCCGGCGTTCCTTTATTGCCCCTGTAGATAAAACCAGGAAGTCAAAGCCAGCTGCGCCCTGCACCACATTGATTGATTGTGAAGATTTGGAGTCAGAGTCAACTAGGAGTAATCGGATCAACTTAGGAACCCAATTAAAACACAGGGATGGTCGGGTGGTCAGTCTAATTTTTTGTTTTCTAGTTCTTTCTTCTTCAGAAATTGATTCTATATGAATTAATGAATTGAAACCTTTTCCTTCAATTATTTATTTATGCAGGCTGTTACTGAGGTTCGACAAACTGCCAGTCGCACCGGAAAAGTTGTTCAAGTTGATACAATACAGGACTCCGATGAAGACAATGCAAAGGCGGAGGCCATCAAGAACAAAGAAAGGACTTTACTCTTGGACAAAGATGGCTTTGATCACCCAAAGTTATACTTTTACCCTCGAGGACAAGGCCCAAAACAGGTTTTTATCCAAGTTTCTTACTTTTGACATTCTGACTGGATACTGATAATCAATGATCTTCATGTATAAAATATACTATAGGATGGCACAGTAGAATCGTTTTCATGTCGATGGTGCCCAAACAGTTTCAAAGCATCCGGTAACTCCAGTTACAATCTCAAGACCCATCGAGATGGTGGATTCACCAAAGGCTCAACTCGACCACGTCCCATCTGCCCCGGTCGAGCGAAGGCTATTGAATCAGGAGCGAATCTACCACCAACAGCCTCTGAGCTTGCTTCAGATAAAGCACTTTCACACCCATCCTCGACCGGCACCTTGATTGCATTTACATCAAAAGGTCGCTTTGACAATACAACCTTCAACAAACTCATTGTCATTTGGATGGTTCGACAATCACTCCCGTGGCTGCGAATTGAGGACTTCCTGCTACGGGTTGCCTTTGACTACGCCCTCCACCTCACCAAGGTCTTTTCTCAAGTCTGGGCTGCCTTACATGCGCATCAACTATACCTTGAACAACAATCGCAGGTCATTCAGGCCATTAAGGTACACAAATTTCTAATCTATTGCTCAAGTTCATTTTTATCATCTTGACTAATCTTCTGTTTACAGCAATCGGATTCGAAGATATCACTTATATGGGACGTTTGGACCACCAAGGGCAGCCATAAAGCCTTCCTTGGAATCTCTTGCTGCTACATTACTCCCGAATGGAAATATGTATGTCGACACCTTGCATTAAAATATGTATCTTGGCATCACAATGGGAAGTATCTTGCAGCTCCCTTTGCCAATATTCTTGTCAAGCATGGATTACATCATAAGATAAGCTCCTTTTGTCAACCAGCTTACTCAACAACTGGCTGACTTAAAATGCAATCTTACGTTCTAGCCCAGACAACCGACTCTGGGAGCAACAATTTTACAATGGCTACTGGTGTTGCCTCCATTTTCCGCTCAACCGACTCAACCGAATGGGATGTAAAGAAGAATCATCACCGCTGTGTCTGTCATGTGATCGCTTTAATATTGGGGGCAGGTTTGAAGGCACTCCAACTTTCGAATGGTATGATTAGACCCGAAAAAACCGATAAGTACTTCCCAAGCCTCAGTGCCATAACCGAAGACAACGAAGAGGCTGAAGAGACACAGGATGAAGGGGATGGAGGCATCGTTGATGTCATAGATGATGGTGAGCTCTCCGAAGACAATGACAACGATATCGATCCGGACGACGCAGAATCTGCTTCACCTGAGCCTGGTTGTGAGGATGAAGACTTGATCGATGTGGATGTTGAAGTTTGTGACACCAGCGGTATTGGTTTCACATTGAAGAAGGTTTGTTATTGTTTCCCTCAGATTCAGATCCATTATACTCCACATTCTTTCCTGACAATAGATCTTGTCAGATTGATTACATCTGCCGGAGGATTGCATCATCGACTCAGAAGCAAGCTGAATGGAAGCTATGGGCCTCCAAACTTGGCTACAAGGGTCGTCGAGTCATCGGTGGGTACGGAATCCGATGGAATATTGCGTACGATAGCCGACAGCGGGCTTATGAAGGAAGGAGGGTAAGGAACTTTTGCTTCCTCCGATTTACTGGTCTACAAACAGTTGAATAAAACGATATCAAATATAGGTCATCAAACAACTCCTTGAAAACGAATCTGACAAGTACATAGGAAAGTCGGCTGAAGGTCACTTTTTCAAATCGTATGAGTTGTCCTCAAAAGAATGGGAGGATGTTAATAACTTGAATACCATCTTGAAGGTAAGTCTTTTGCTACTCATCTCAAATCTCATTTACCTTTCCACATGTAATTTCTCAATCAACGTTCAACCTTGGCTTTGACAGGGGTTTCTTGAGATGACAAAAAGGATGGAGGGCGATGGCCCAAAATTACCCATGGTTATCTATGAGTACATACGGGTATTAGATTTGTTGGAGAAAAAGAAGGCATCTGCGAGGGCAACTTCACTCGAGCCCATGTTTGATCCAATGATCAAGATCACAAAGAAGTACATGGACCTCGCTTTATCATGTGACACGGTAATCATTGCAACATTCCTTCATCCGGCGTGGAGGATGATGCTGTTTGCCAAGCGATTCGAAAGTCATCTAGCTAGGATCACTTGTCTCATCGCGGACAAGTTTTCTGCAAGAGAAGAGCTGCTCAAGTCACTTACACCGGAACCGTCTCCCCCAAAATTATCGTCATCGGCATCTGGGATCCATGTCAATCTAACGACCGACTCGGAATCCGAAGAGGATGGATTCAATTTCTATCCAACCAATTCTGAATCAATCAACACAAACACTGAACTCGATCGTTATAATAACGGAGATTTCCCCTTGGAAAAGAAGGGTTGTCATTTGACTTGGTGGAAGGTGAGTCACAACTGTTGTGCTGAATCAATTCTTCTTCCTTGGTTCCTGAATGTGTATCCTCATATTCTTTTTTTTTCTGTAGGCTCATGCTAAGGATTTCCCTGTGATGGGATCCTTGGCAAGAGATTACCTGGCTTGTCCAGCAAGCTCGGCAAGCGTGGAGCGTACATTCTCAGCAGCAGCAAGCATCTGTGCTTCTGGTCGGTCAGGCCTTGCCATTCGTACAATCGAGAGGAGCATAAGCAGTCACATGTGGCTGCAGAACCGGGTGAAGCTGGAGGGAATGTTCTCAGACTGCCAAGCAGTCATTGATACCGCTGAAGCTAACCCTAAGTTTTCTAAGTACAAGAGCCAACATTTAAACAAGGCACATGCAACTAAAAAATAAATATGATCAACTACCTGCTAGTGTTTCTTTTTCTTCCCCCCTTGCCTTATATAAAAAGCTGAATATAAGCGCTATTTTTTGGCTGCCATAGCGCTAAATGTGCTACCTGCGCTGCATAGTAGTGCTACCCGACTACTGAGAAGCTGCCGTAGTGCGCTTCGAACACCAAAAATCTACCTCAAGAAGTGAGAAGCGGTAGCTTTAGCTGCTGGGCGCTACCTGTAAGAATAGTGCAGCGTGCCAGAAACCGCTAAGCTACACGCTACGCTGCACTATCGTAGCATAGCGGTTTCACCATTGCCGGGAGGAACCCCTCCCGACAAGCTGGATTATGTACCAGCTCGTCGGAAGGGGTTCCTTCCGACGAGCTGGCTTTCAAACCAGCTCGCCGGGAGGAACCCCTCCCGACGAGCTGGATTTTGTACCAGCCGAGTTCGAATTAGAATCGGATTTGGATATCTAAAACGCCGCGCAATGTTCCAGCGACGCCCAGCTCTCCTGCATCAACTGGACTCATGGGTGTCTTCAAAGCCGGTGCGGCGCTTGCTAGCTCGTGGACCACAACAAAGCCTAAGCCCGATAGGCCAGAACTGAAGAGCTTGCAGCTTGCAGCTGCAGCTGCTAAAAAGGACATCCAAGTACGGCTGTCAAACGATCCCGCTAACTTGTGTTTTCCATATTCCAATTGTACAGGAGCAAGATGAGAGGGATCGAAAAGCGACGCTGAAAGAAGAAAGACGCCTACTGGCGGCGGAAAAGAAACAGGCGGAAGAAAAGGCTAAGGCTGAGAATGAGAGAAAGGCAAGGATGGCAGAAGTCGAGAAAAAGAAGCAAGAGCGCGAAGAGGCGCTGAAAGAGCGAACAACCTTTAAGGTTAAAGTCCCGACCAATCATGCACCGGTAAGCTCTTTATCAACCTTTGTGTCTCTGGGCCATCATACTAACCCAAAAATCTCTCATCATTCGAATACAATAGCCCAGCTCGTCGGGAGGGGTTCCTCCCGACAAGCTGGTACAAAATCCAGCTCGTCGGGAGGGGTTCCTCCCGGCGAGCTGGTTTGAAAGCCAGCTCGTCGGAAGGAACCCCTTCCGACAAGCTGGCATGTACACAGGCTCGCCGGGAGGGGTTCCTCCCGGCGGTGTGACCTCGGCCTCTCTAGGCCAAGGGGGTTTGAAAAAAAAAAAAAAAAAAAGCAGGGCCATCCCATAGGACCCATGCCTGGGTCCTATGGGACAGCCTGGCGTGCAGGCACGCACGCCAACCTGCAGGGTATACCCCCTGCAGGCGAGTGGCGTGCCTGCCTGCACGCCATTCTGCAATGGCGTGCAGGCGCACACGCCAATCTGCAGCTGGCGTGCAGATTGGCGTGCGCCATGGGGGTTGGTGTGCGCTTATCAACCCCCAACATTTATATTTAGACTAGTAAACATAAGAAACATTAGACATACCATCCTCAAGAAATCTCCAAAGCCACACCTTTCCTTAAGAGTCCATACTCTTATATTTTTCTTGTTACCTTACTAATTGTAGTTACCAGAGAGGCAGCCCATTAAAGCACCTATCCCTCTCAAGCTCTATTCCTCCCAAGAGTAGTTCCACACCAAGAGAAACACTCTCAGTTGTTGAGCGTATAACCCTCAACAGCCAAGGGAAACCGATCTCTGCCGTTCAAGGTGTACACCTCAATGGCCAAGAGAAACCTCTTTGCAGTTTTAGGGCATCAACAACCAACCCCTCTGGGGGTATTTTTTTATTGATTTAAAAGTTTTGGGGTTTCAAATCCCAAACCCTCCAACAGGTTTGAGGGATTGACTCCCAATAATTGGGTAACCCGGGGGAATTTTTTTGGGGGGAGAGATCAGGGCTTGGGAGGTGACTCCAATTTTTGGAAGTCAATCAAGCAAGCCACCCAAAAAAACTTAGGGTTAATTTGAAATTTTATATCTATGCATATGCAAAACCAAGCCCAATTGGTGTGAGATGATTGCCATAGTTGTGTAAGCCTTCATGTCTCATCATGTGATGAGTCAAGGTGTGTGAGTCCAGGTAGTGAGTTCAAGCCCCAAGAAATCTTTTTGAACTGAATCCAGCTGCTGTGCAGCCACTGTTAAGCTGGCATAATTCTTTCAAGCCTCCTCAAGCTTGCCTTGAAACCTCTGGCAAGCTGATGTTGAAGGGTCAAGCCAACCCTGGGGGATTTCACCCCCCAATATGAAGCACCCCAAAATTTTGGTTTGGGCGGCATGGGTCAAGTTGATGGAACCTCTTCCATCAAGCAGTTGTCCACCAGAAAGTGTGATGTATAGAAAGGGGGGAGGGGTGGTTGGTCAAAAAGCCCAGGCAACTTGGGACTTGTAATTCCAACCCCCTCCTAAGTTTTCTCTTCACTTTCTGTGCCCAATTTTGTTATACACCACCGGTTGTTGTGGATGGCATTTGGACACCCAAATGGATTTACCAAATGCCATCCACCTTTGGCCCTGCAAGGTGCATCCATTGGATGTGCTTTGCATTTCACTGAACCAGGATAGTTGGGCCATACCATCCATTGGATGAAGGTCTGGGAGGGCCCTGAGCAGAAAAAATAGCAGGCAGCCAGGGTTGAACCCCCAACCTGCAACATCACTACCTAGACTAACTTGTTGGACCAGCCTGTCCAACGAGTCCTTGGATGGATTTGTCCGAGTGGCTCTTGGGCATGGCTGTCCAGAAAGTTGTCCAACCGGCTTGTCCAAGCAGTTGCCAGACGGGGTTATCTGCTTGGACAGGCAAGTCTGACGTCTTGTCGGACAGTCATATCTGAGAACTTGTTGGACAGGCCGGTCCAAGGACTTGTTGGATCAGTTGGTCCAAGCAATCAATTGAACCAGTGCCACAAAGGAAGTACATCAGCTACACTAACACTACAGTCATTTGGATGTTGCTCCTGCGCAATTTTTCACCTCTGCAGTGACTGCGGCCACCAGCATTGGATGACAAATTGGGCCACAGCAGCAGGCAATTGTCCATGGTGTAAAGACACAGATACAGAGTCTGCCCGCAAGTCAGCTATGTGCCAAAGTCTAAGACCCCTTCCCTTTGCATTTTGTGATGCTTTTTCAACCACTGACATCCCCTCATGTGAATTTTTTCATGAGGTTTTTACCATCAACCCCCCCTGTTGGAATAGCATGCATATGCATTGTCCAGTATGCTTCTAACCTTAACACGTACAATCTTGTATATAACTCATACTAGATTGTCATTGGCCTTTTCCCTCTAGTGAATCAGAACCATCATTTTCTCACTCTCAGGTGTCACAAGAATTTTCAGTCTGTGAACTTCAGGCAACTCATCCTGTGTCCCCTTCAACACCACCCCTCCTCCCAGTGGTAGATGGCTAAAATTTGGTTTTTAAATGCATGTGCATTGTGTAGTCTAAGTGGTATCTGAGATGAAAGAAACAATATTTACTGAAGGATTATTATCATATAAAGAAGGTACTGTGGGAAGACTAATTTGTTTCCTGAGGTGTCTGATATGTAGTATGTCGTAGCTATAAAGTACTATATGTTATGTAACCAAATGAGTGTAACAACTATCATTCTATAATGTTCAAGACTGGATAGAAAATAAATTAGTATGTAGCATTTGTATATCTGATTGCAATATCGTTGAAACTACTATAAATAGCTATTTTGTACTATGTACACCAGGAAATATTTGAGGGCAGTAGGTGTCAGGTGACATGAAGTGACATATGTTACAACTCCATTGTTACTCTGGTGCTTGTCTGCTCAAATAACAATTTTCCCTTTGTGGTCATCAGGGAGTCCCAACCCTTTGACTTTGAAGTAACACTGGAATACAGGCAGGAGTTAGCTTCATGTCACCTGACATTTACTGCCCTCAAATTTTTCATGGTGGTATGATCTTGATTGGTCTTACCACAGCATCAAGAAATAACATCAAATTAAATTGGTTTGACCCCGGTATAACATGGAGCCTATGAAATCTTAGTGAAGAGTGTGAGCACATGAAACAAAAGGAAATTAAATTCAGAGTGGAAATTCAACACAGAATCTAAATCATATGGATTTAGAGGTAAAATCTGATGAATGGATTCAATTTTGAATTTTGAAACTACTAAGACAAGAAATTACCCCTGTGAGAATAAAAGTACATTCTAAGGAGTTGTGAATGATGCAATGTTTTGATGAAATAGTTTTTCCAAGGAAATACTTCCATTCCCTTGATCTTTTCAAAACCCCCACTCATGAATCTGTCATGGGACTGTTTATATTCACCCCTTTGTCCAATTCGGATCAAAATTGAGATGAAGGTTTTTTCATTCAAGAACACCTGTAGAAACTTTGAAGGATTTGATTTGGAGTAGTAAGAAATCATTACTTTCACTGCCACTTGTGTGATCAACTTAGATTTCTTGTTTTCATTCTCCCTCTTACAAAAATTCAATGCTTCTAGCATCTTCTTTTGAGTGTCCGTTCTCTTCATGGGCTGTGGAATTTTGTGGTAAACTGTATGTGTTTGGGTATTATCTGAACAAGTGAGAAGAGAATAGAATTCATTTTGAAGCCCATATTGCTCATCAAAAAACACTTCATCCTCAAAATTCTGACCAAAGTTTTGAATCAATCTGCAATTTATCTTCAAAATTAGATCAATGACATTTTCCATTTCCTGAATAAACCATTCTTTTACCATCAACCTTGGGTATAACTTAATGTTGCTGTTGGGGTTTTCCATTTGTGAACTTCTCCAACTTTCAATTCTTGATATTAGGGAATGATCTTTTTTCAAGTCTATCATTGGAAGGAATTGATAATAAGTAGTTTGGAAATTGGAAATAAGTATCCAATTCAATCGAGAGGTTTCTTCAAAACAATCCTCAGTTTGAATATCAATCAAGTTAACTTTTGGTTTTGCAAAACAATTCTCTTCAATTTCATTTTGTTTACTTGAGATTTGTTTCACAAAATTATGAAATTGGGTTCTTTTTTTGATTCCAGATTGAGAATATTTGCCATAATTTCCATCTCTGAATATTGCTTGATCCAATTCTTTCTCCCATGGGAAGAAGTTGATATTTTTGATTGTTCTTTGAAAATATAACATTGCTGTTTGATGTGCGGGTGGGATCACACTCCAATATTGTATTTTTTGTAAAAAAGTAGGAAAATGTGAATCATTTGTAAATAATAATTTCCACTTGTGATCTACAAAGTCAGGGTCAATCAAATTCTTTTTTGGTTTGTAGTAAGAGGCCATAACATTAACTGCAGCTTCAGACATCAAAGTTTGATTTGGGCAAACTGTTTCAATTAGGACTTTCTTCTCAGGTAGGAAGATTTCATGACTTATTTGATTATATTTTTCAGAGAGAGATCTGATGATCAGATGTGTTATTGAACTTTTGTTTGATTTTTTTGTCATAATATCCCTATGATGGGTTTCCCCATCAAGATAATCTTGTTTCCTTGATCTGGTGCTAAAAAGATCCAAAGCCCAATTCTGCAAATTTGATTGTTCTTTCTCATATTCCTCTTTTCCTGGATTAAGAATTCTTAGAAATTTTGAATTTACACACCAGAGGAGATGGGCAAACTCTTTAAAGCTGTTGCATGCCTTTGGGTCAGCAAATTCTTCAAATGGAACCAATTTTTCAAAATTCATCAAGGGATAGACAATTTCAGCAAGAGATGTGATGAAGCTTGATATCTGGGTGGCATTATCCACCATGATTTCATGATAAAGTTTATCTGAGATTCCTAGCTTCATTGTGTAGATCCAGGCCCAGACATCAGGACTGATATCTTCAAACTGTACTTGATCCTTGTGGAAATAAATGTCTGTTTCTTTGATTTCACTTGCTTTGTTCAGATGGTGCTGACCAGACTCATCAATCCCATCTACTGTTCTTGAATGTCCAGCTTGATTGTATTCTTGAAAATCATTGTTTTTTAATTCATTTTTCACTTTGGGCTCAACTGTTTTTTTTCTCGGAAATCTCTCCATGGGGGATTTAAAATCTTCATGTGGGGGAGGCAATACCATTTCTATTTCAGGTTTTATTAAAGAACCAGGCAAATCTTGTGATTCTGGCCTCCCCATTGCAGTTGTGACACCATGAAATTCAGTTTCTTCTGCTGGTGAAGCAACGGTGCCACAGATACGAGACATGTATTTGTATCGGATTGTATCGTATTTATTTTGAGCCTGATACCGGTATCAGTATTTCCTTGGTTGGTGAAAAAATACATTGTATCGGATTTGGATTTAAAAATGAAAAAAAAAATGTCTTCGTTTTTTTTGTTTTTTCTTCAATACAGCCAAATATCTTATGTATCAAATACGGTTTTGGTGGGATCAGTCATCTGAGACGATACAGAATACATTTCTCACTTTTCAAATACGATACATGTATATGTCTCAGGAAAGTGAGACAACACAAATCCGGTATTTTTGGGTATTCCAATTCTGAGACGATACAGATAAACGCCTGATACCGTATTGTATCGTCTCTGTGGCACCGTTGGGTGAAGGATGGTTACCTGCAATTCATTGTGGGGACAAGTAAGTAGAGCTCTTGCAATTTGTTTTAAACTTGAAAGTGTGAACAAAAAGCAATTGAGCTTACTTAGACCTAATTGTAAGTTTAATCAATGCAGACCATCATCATTTGTCTCCATTTTGACTCTGCTTGTGCTTCCCTGGTTGATGCCATACCTTTTGAGTTTCTTTGCATGATGACCATAATGGACATGGCCATCTGAAGGAGTCTGAAGGGAAGGAGCTGAATCCTGCAGGTAGGTATTCTTTGGATCACCATCATTGGAAGTACCTTGCCTCCAATGACCTGGAGGGTAGTTAGTCTTCAGCAGTCGTGATGTCACATAATAGGGACAAACCAAGCTCAATGGTTCCTTGATACCATGGTCCGTGTAAGAATGTAGATTAGGGAAACTTAGAAAAAAAAACTCACTCAAGAAATCGATTTCCGAGAGTACTTCCTCACCGCTATGCTTCACCAGCTCTCTGGGACAAAACAAATGGAAATCTGATGGCTGAATCGATTGCTCGGTTGATCTATGTTTAGAACTCTCCCGCAATCAGTCTGTGAGATCCAAATATGATGACTTGTGAGCTTTTTGATCACTTAACATGTGCCTAGGAATATTGTTCTCAGTTGATTTCAGTGCCTCTGACGATGAAGTAGGCAGCTGGGTGAAGTGGCTTTGTACTTGAGTAACTATTAGGGTCAGAAAACTGCATCCTGGAATCTTTTTCATACTTGTGAACATCGGGGTTTTTGATCTGCAATGTGTGGAGAAATTAAGAAGATGATTTCGCGCAAGTGACTCTTGCCCTTGGTCGCAGCAGGAACCAGTTTTGACCTTAGAAGAAATCAAGAGCATATATCTATCATCATGATACATAGACTGCCAGGCTGGTGTCAAAATGAGTTTTGGTTTGGCTGGAGTCAGCTGATCAGTGAGCCGAACGATTTGGGAAGCCCCGCTCTGACAAACAGCTTACGCCAAACCGTAAACGCATGTCAAAAGTAACATCGTTTGTCAAACACTTATTCCAAATGTGAAACTTTTTTGCATTCCCAACGAGTGTACTACGTCTTCGTCGCGACTTGCTGGCCTCATCGTGCTCGGATCGGTTAAAACCAGGGAATCTTTTCCCCCGTCTTTTTTGACGTCGACTGCTAGCTCATGTCTCTGGGCAGAATAACTGAAAACCCCCTCCTGAGTATCAAACAAATATCATACATCGGCCATGCTAAACTACCAGCAAGATTTGAATTTTCTTCCATATTTTCTCAAGTCTTGCTGGTAGGTGAGGACTGGCTCATCTCATTACAATGACAGAATTCTGGATATTCATGCCATTTGTATTAGGGAATAAATGTTTTGGGAAGTATATATCCAGTAAAGTGGTTTGAAAAAGAGACTGGCTGCACTTACTCTAGAGGTGGCAAGATGTAGGGTTAGAAAAATGAATCCTGCATTTTTTTCGTACTTTTGAGTATCCGGGTTAGTTTGTAGTATATATGTGGGTAAGAAGGTGTTTTTGCGGAAGTAACTCCAGTTCAGAGCAGGAACCAGTGTTAGCCTGAGAAGAGCTCATGAGCTCATGTTTATGAGTAAAACAGATTGGTACCAGAACGAGTTTTATTTCGGATGGAGTCTCAGTTGCTGAGTGAGCTTGTCAGCGATTTGAGAAGCCACGCTTTGACAAACAGCTTACCAAACGAATGTCGATACTATAGCAACTTTATTTTTGGCGCACTTAATATTTCAAATGTCTCCTTTTTTACACGAGTTCAAGACTTGAAAGTTTGAGGCACGTTAAGGCTCCTTTTTTTATAGAATCTCCATAACTTATGGGTATTCTAGAACAGGTTCACAGCTGAATGTGTCCTTTGGTTTGGGTCTCAATCATGTGTAACTATAAACGAGGAAGAGACAAGATGGGTGCAAAAGAATTTACTGGAGATTACAGGACTACAACAGTGGAGGAGAGTGGAGGCTACGGTGGAGGAGAGTGGAGGCTACGATGGATGAGAGTGGAGGCTATGGTGGAGGAGAGTGGAGGCTACGGTGGAGGAGAGTGGAGGCTATGGTGGAGGAGAGTGGAGGCTACGGTGGAAGAGAGTGGAGGGTATGCTAGAGGACAGAGCAGGGTATGCCGAAGGACAATGGAGGGTATGCTGGACAGTGGAGGCCAACTCTAGTGGAGGACAGTGGAGGCCAACTCTAGTGGAGGACAGTGGAGGCCAACCCTAGTGGAGGACAGTGGAGGCTAGCTATAGTGGAGGCGTCGGCTGAGGCCGGCCTCTCAAGGTGTGAATCCCCTTCACGTATGCTGCTGACGGCACCACAGCTTCCAAATGTCTTCAAGCTCCTAGCTCCACAAGTTACACCACTCCCTTGATATTTGATTAGCCGGAATCAAGGTGCATCCACCTTATGCACGAGCCTGTACCTGGTCTTTTTGAAACACACTTGATGACAGATCGTTTTTGCGATGTGTAAGGCTGTGTCTAAAGCCATCCCAGAGAACGATAACTCTCTCATAGTCGTCGTAATATCCACAAATTAAGAATGTATAGCAAAACCTCTCCACCCAAAAAACGATCATGTAGTATAGAATAGCACATAACCTCTCGATAAATCCTATTTCACCGGTGATGGGCCATCATACAGTGTCTACCAAGTTAACAGCTGTTGTCCCCACTTTTCTCAATAAACCTTGTATGTTCCTCAATGCCTACGGTTCTTGAGAGGAAACTAACCAACAAGACTCCTGAGACCAGTTCCTCTTCGGTCCTTAAGTCTGTGATCCGATTATCTTTGTTGAAGATCCCAGATCTCTCTCTCTTCCTCTTATCAGACTACCTAGATCCCAGCCATTTGACATTTTGATTTTCGTGAAAGAAAGAGACAATCATAAGAGAGAAACAAAAGCAATGTTGGTTTTTGTTCAAATCTATGTCGATGCGTTATGTGGTGATTGGTATGAAAGCTCCAGTGCTGGAAGAAAGGCTCAACAGACGACGGATTTGGTGATGAATTGTTGCAAATCTAATGAGAAAAAAAAGGGTCAGCAAGAGTAGATGAAGGGGGGGGGGGGCAAGAGGAGAAAGGGAAGAAACGGACCATCGATTGTGGTGTTTTCTCTGATGACAAGGGTGACGGGACAGTTGTCGGAGTTATTGGGGATGATGACCTTATCAGCGTCGAGCGACCAAGCCTGCGTCTCGATCCATTTCTGGAGGAGGGCGGGGTCGGTGAGGTTGAGATAAGCGGCGAGCCTGGTGCGGTCAATGGACCGGAAGCAGCTGGCCACGCTCCGGCCGATCGACCGGCGGACCAGATCCGCAAACTGCCCAATGCTCCCCACTACCGCCCCCAAGGGCTCGTACTCTGCCGACCCAAGATCCGCCCAGAACTTGATAAACTGTCGCGTCTGAAGCGTCCGCGATAACTTCGAAAGCAGTTCGATCAGGTTCAACGTCGCCTGGGGCGTCAGCAAACTCGACTGTGTTCCCCATCATCATTCGGTCCCCCGTAGAAAAAAAATCATCTTTATTAGCACATTTACTCCCCTTCTCAAATCAACATCGAACAAAACAAAACTTCCAATCAACGGTTAATATGAGACTTACCATTCGATCCCCACATAGACTTAAGCATAAGTTGAAGTCACTATCGAATGGTCGATGGACGATACTCAAGAGGAGGATCTTAATAGTGATCGAGTCATGGATAGCCTCGATAGGATTGCTAGGATTCTCAGCGGCCAAGGGGACCAAATCGGGGTTGAATTGATACCTGTTTTCCAACCAAGAGAGCCCGAGAATGAGTAAATTTGAGGAATTCAAGTGATGTTTAAAAAGGGGGGAGGAGGGAGGGAGAATGCAGACAGTTTCAAGGTGGCAAAGTTGGCCAAGGGGTCGTAGAAGGCTTGGTTGCATTGTTGGGTCAGGTAGTCTTCGAGCACCTGGACTTGAGTCGGGTCGTATCGTTCGACGCCCAAGATCAACACCTGGATCGCTTCGGGTCTCTCCGGTGGACTCGACCATGTCTGATTTCCCATTTTTTTTTAATCGGGGAGAAAAAATATCAGCTTCGTTTTTTTTAGATTTTGCATTGATGCTTTGGATGGAAAACTTTCGTACATGGGTCACCAGATGGTTGTTGATGTTGGCTGGGTTGGCGGCCATCGTCTTCGATCGGTTCTGCGTTTTTTTTTTTTTTTTGGTTGGTGGTTGACAAGATTCGGCAGGGCGGCGGTTGGGTGGCCAGTGGCGTGTCAGCCGGGCCCTCCTTCGCACTCCAATCCGCAGTCATCCCTTGTAAGCCCCGCAATCAAGCTCGGACCCCCCTTCCCCCTGAAATTCACAGAAATCACAAGGTTTGTTGAAGAATTCAAACAACTCTGCGCAATTATTATACAGAAGGAGACACTTTCCTCCAAGTTTTGACATACAAAATTTGTGGCAATAAAAAACAGCATAGTTGGTTTGAAGCAGGTCCGAAAGACTGATTGAGACTACACCCTTCAGCCTTCATCCAGTTGGTTCAATAGCCCCGGTGGATCAGCCACCGGATTTTAATGAGCCTCTTGAGATTTCCTTGTGCAAGAAAGATTCCTAAATTTGATTCTCGATGGTTCGGAGATATTGACAGGAATTCCTTCATTTTGTAGGAGAGAGCTCAGGTATCAGGATTGATATGGGCATGTTGATCTCAAATAATAAAAGAGTTGGGATACTACAGAGTGACCTTCAAGATAACAAAAACTATTACAATATCATCATTACGAATAATTATGACATCTCAAAGAGAGTAAAAGGCAAGGAACCTTGATCTTCACCTGAAGCTCCACTGCCTGATGGCTGCACTCTCCCCCACCCGCACCATAGCCACCACACATCCACAGCACTGCAGCTAACCTTCACCGCACTGTGGTCCTCTAACTGCCTCTACTTCAGCCATTGTACATTTGGAAAACTGCATATCTGCCAGAGCGCGGTCTCAAATCGCTTATGAGACTCTAACACGAAACATATTAAGTTCAGGAGTAACTCTATCCTTAATTATGAAACTTGACTATTTATTGCTTACAAGACAGCCAGTCTTTTGTCCTTCAAACTAAGTTCACGTCCACCAAATCACCCTCTTCTCAGCACATCAACTACTTGAGTTTTTTACCATCTAGGTTCTGACAAGTATGAAGTTTTCTATGGGATTCAGTTTGATTACTCTACTAATTCCTCAAGCTCAATGCCTATGAGTCAGCGGTCTTCATCACTCGGCAGAGGAACTGAAAAGAAAACGGAGAATAGTATTAGTTCAAGCAACAGGTTAAGAAATCCAAAACCTAAAAGGGAGCCATCGCGGGGTCACACTGACTGATTCCGGGGATTCTTTGTGCATAGGTTTGGCCCCAGAGGCCTGGTCAATCATAGCGGCGAGGAAGGGCTCCCCTGAGATTGAGTTCTTGAGTGAGTTTTTTCAAGCTTGCCTGATCTATCTATACCACGATTTCATGGGGCAAATTGAACCGAACAGTGGTTCATCACCCATCAGGAGCGTAGCTACTGACCATCGAATATCCCGATAGGTCGCTGGAAACCTCCAGAGGGTGATTCCAGGAGGAATCCCCCCGTGCAGGATTCAGCGCCTTCTTATATGGAGACTCATTCAGATAATTATCACGAGTATGGACATCGAGACAAAAAAATGAAGGCGCATGCTACCGACCAGGGAAACAAGCTCAAAGAAAAGCTGGAGGGAAAAAGTGATGATCAAGATTGGTTAAACTTGAAATTAGGTCCAAGTCAGCTTATTTTCGGGCTTTCCAGTTCATGATAGATTTTAAGAGCTCTAATAACGCTGCTATATTATAATCCATCCGGCCAGGTATCCATCCGCTACCAGCAAAATATGTTGAGGAGCGCGGTTTTGCAAATGCGCCCGGTAGACCAGAGGCTCAAAAATCAATTTCTTTGGTGGAATCGGAAGTGGCAATGGTACTGCCAAACTCAGTACCTGGTTCCAGGCCCTCCATTGAGAATTTTTCAAAACACAATCTACTGAGTGCTGATAGTAAAGATAGCTCTCAAAAAAAGTATTCAGCAGGGGGAAAAACATATGAGAGTTTGGGAATATTTGGAAATGGTAGTAAAGCTATCCATGAACACCCAGGTGAAGAACTTCAAATTCCAGAAAAAACTCATTTTCCAAAGGATGAAGTTTATTTTGAACACACAAGTCCAGATGTCTGGGCCTGGATCTACACCATGAAGCTGGGAATATCTACTATGCTTTATTGGGAGATTCTGGAGGGAAAAGAGAGAGAGATCTCAAAATTTATCACTTCCCTTTATTCTGTTTTACATCCATTTATGAAAGACAAAGAATTGGTTCCAATTAATGAAGTGATAGACCCAAATTCAAAAAACAGCTTTAAAGATTTTGCACATCTTCTTTGGTGTGTAAATTCAAGATTTCTGAGTATTTTCAATCCAATGCAAGAAGACCATTATACAGAACAATCAAACATGCACAAGTGGGTTTTGAACCTCTTTACTCATTCAAGAATAGAAGATTTCCTTCCAAGAGGAAAGTATTCTGGGGATACTTCAAACTTTAAACCAAAACAAAGTTCTCTCACAAGTCTTGTTTTCAAAGCCTTATCTGCCAGATATACCCATCCAACTCATGATGTTCTCAACCCTGAAAGCCAGTGCATAATGGAATCAGTTTCCTCCAATCAAGTCCTCATCTCTGAATCTGTGGTAAACATTATGGCATCTTATTACAAATCTCAAGCGGGTTTGATGAACTGTGAATGTCAGGAAGAAAAGAAAACTAAGTGGAAAATTCTGTTTCCCAAGGATGATCATTTCCCCATTGTTTTAAAACAAATCCAATGCTTGGATTCAATCTATCTTTGCAATAAAAGATCCTGGGAATTCTTTAAGGAAAAGATCCAGAATTTCAAGTTCTTACCATGGAAGAGTCACTTAGATGAAGAAGTGTACAGAACGGAAAAACACATTGGGATTTCTCCATTTGAAGTTCTAAACACATTGAAAATTCAAAGAATCATGGTTAAAAAAGACCCAAAAAGTGGGAACTTAGGTGAAGAAAATGTGGAAAATCAAACAAATAAATTTCATATTGAGAATGAAAGTTTTCTTGAAAGTAACTCTGTCAAAAAATGGTCATTTATTACCAAGTATAAAATCCATTATGATAAATTCATTGATAGATCCAATTTGAGAAAGGATACTATGCAAATAGCAAATCTAGGATTATGGAAGAATTCACAAACAGCCATTAATGTACTTAATTCATACCCTAGATTGATGTTAAACAGAACCTTCTTTTATGAAATTGAAAATATGCTCAATCTAATCTTGAAGATGAATTGTCGATTGATTCACAGCTTAGGCCACCCTTCTGATGATGATGTTTATGTGAATGAACAAAAGGGGATCCAAGATGAATTTTATTTACTCCTCAATTTTTCAGATGCTGCTCCTACTGCAAGCAAGTTCTACAAGGATAGTCCAGGTCTCATGAAGTATGATGAGATTCAAACACTGATCAGAGAAGCGCTGAATTTTGACAGAAGGGATGACAGATACAAGAAAGATGAGTTGATGGGCCAAGCAGCAGTAGACGTCATGATCTCATATTACTACAAATCTAATCCGGAAAAATTCTTGCAGGTGTTTTTGAATAAAGAGAATTTCATTTCAAGCTTGATCCGTATTGTACAGAGAACTGAAAAGAAAGGCTCACATGATAAGTTCATGCTTCAGGCTTTCCCAACACTCCAGTACATGAAACTCTTTCCTTGGAAAAACTATTTCTTAAAAACATCATATGATTCTGAAGTCATCAAGATGTTTTTTCAAGATCAGAGAGGCCAATTTATGTCTTCAAAGTAAACATGCATTAAGTTCAAACCTGTTACCAAATCCCACATCTGTTCTATCCTTGAAATGTTGCTCTTATTGAAAGCTGACCAGAACTTGATTCATCCACAGGAGATAGATATAAATGATTGATATGTTTCATTGTTTAAACAATTCATAGAGTTTAAAATAACTGCACTAGTCTTTCTGTAGGGTATATGCATTAAATGTATGAAATTCCAGAATACAGAAGTATCTATGGTAGCAAATTTTCAAATTGATTCTTTGCCATTTGACCCAATGGCATTATCTGAAGTGGAATTGAGCTCTACTCCCAATCCTTCAATGATTTTTTTAGTGAAACCCATACCTGATAGGATGGTGCAGTTGATTTTCCTCAAAGTTTTTTTGTTTGAGAGCTTGGGACTCAAACTCAAGTGTTTCACCTCATTTTTTAATTTGTCAGTTTTTTGATTTGGGTTTCTGCACTTGAAAATTGATTATGATGGTTCGTGGATGATCAGTGATAGCATTTGAAGACTTCTTTAGGCTGGGGTATTAGTATTCCAAAATTAACAGGTGATGGCAAAAATTACACACTGGAACCTTATATGCACCACACTATCTTAGCACAACTCTCTGCTTTTTCAAGATTCTGAAAATCACCCTGTGTATATACAGCCACAACAGGAGAGCCTTGGGATGAACCTGTCAGCCACAGAGTACATGTCACAATACCTTTCATGTACCAAGTAAATGCAAACACCAGTACATACACCACCGGGCATGGTGGATGGCATTTGGACACCCAAACGGATGTACCAAATGCCATCCGACTTTGGCCCTGCAGCAAGCATCCATTGGATGCGACTTGCATTTTGCTGAACCTGGATGGTAGGGCCAAACTATCCATTGGATGGTAGGCTTGAAAGCCCATGGGGATCACAAAATTCCCGGCAGTAAGGCTTGAACCCATGGCCTGAAGGTACCATCAGTACCTGCCAGGGAGGGGCCTGATCATCCAGTACCTTGCCACTCGACTATAGACTCTGTACTGTCACTGCCAAAAGGTTGTTGATAGACCCCCTGTTGCATTTTTGGATGGTTTTTCGACCATCTACCACCCTCCAAGCTCATTTTTCAACAATCTACCACTTTTTTTCCACTGCCGGACCCTGGTGAAAACCATCAATCAGACACTCTGAGAAGTGTCCAATTGATGGTTTTTTTGCTTTCCATTGGACACTCTCAATCAAGTGTCCAATGGACACCAGGCTGTACACCATCCTCTG